CCAGGATAAGATTTGGGTTTGAAACACTCATTCATTTACGGGCTGACAACGGCATCCACCTGGGACCCAGGGCTCAGTGACGTGCACGGTCGCTAGGTCTGTTCACTGGATCCCCCAACACAGACAACAACCCAATGAGCAGCCTCCTCTGCTAACTGGCATGCGGAGGCCTGGACATTGGCTTTACCGGGGGACCTGCAGGGTCCATCCGCCTGAAGTCACCCCCTGGACCTTTGTCCAGCCTTCCTGGGCCCAGAGCTGGGGAGCAGCATCTCTTTCCGAGACCACATATTGCCTTTGGGTCTCTGAGCCCCTCCCCCTTTCATTGTTATATGGCCACACTCCGTTCTAGAACAAGCGTGCTCTAAACGGTTCAGACAGGCCTTCGCCACTCAGAGGGACCTCACCTTTGGCTATCGCAGGCATCTGGAAGGTGATGCTGATCACGCCCACCAAATCTCCCAGTGGAATCAGGGACCTCAAAATGGATCTGATCCTGATGGCTTCCCCCTTCCCGGCGTGAATCAGCTACAGGAAGAGAACAAGGAGCATTAGAATCCCTCTGTGACATCAATGCTATCATTCTGCCTACAAACTTGAAGTCCAAAATCATGTCTGAAATGATTTTCTTTGACGGATATGCATAAAGTTAGACCTGGCACAGAAACGGTTGTTTCGGGCTCACAGATGCTATTTCCCTGCCACAGTCTCCTCTGACATCAGCACACTATGCCGAGGCTAGTGGCCGGCAGTGTTATTCTTAAGGAGCATGAAGGTCATTGGTCTGGGTGCTGGGGGACACCCCTACCAGCTACTGTGCCTTCACACAGAGGAGCCAGGGTGCCGCGCTGGGGCCCCAGGAACTTACATGCATTTCAGGAGCACAACGTCCTAACAGGTCGATCAAAGCCGCATAGAAGGTCATGATGGCATTCCCCATGTGGATGGTGTTGTCCTCCTCCGCTGTGTCACTGTCATGGATCATTCCAGGGAAACAGAAACAAATCAAACGGGAGGAGGAAGTGGCATTTCTGGTTTATTACATGTTCTCAGGGGACAGGGGCCACTAGGTAATTCATTCTGATGCTTTTCATGTCTGTGTTTAATTTACAGCTGGGCATTTTAAAGCAAAATGGCAATGCATTCAAGACCAGATTTGAGATTCTGTCACCAAGGACACACTTGTGGGAATGTGAATATTAAGATCCTTCCAAGAAGGAAAAAAAAAAGAACTGCTAATTTGATGATTCTGCTCAATTTGTAGTGGCAGCTAGCTCATTAACAAGGAAGGTAAGAGATGGAAGGACCTGGTAAACTTAGAACGCTTTTGTGACTAGATGCATTTAGAGAAAGGGTGACAAAGATCTGAGCCATAAGGTCACATATATAGGGTGTCCAGTACAGTGTTTTCCCCAAAGGAAGAAATTCATAAACATGATCTCAGTTACCCACTCATCTCTGTATCTGGCATGTCCCCCTCCCACTCTGTGGGAAAAACATAAATACTTCATTGTCTCACTGAGGACAGACAAATGTTGATGGACCTGGAGACCAAGGCCTTCCTCCTCTGGCAGCTCAGGAGTCCGCTGTGTACGCTGCATCAGAGGTCTGGCCCAGGACAGCAAGGCTGCACTGGCCACACCTTTCCTGGCATGCAAGGCTGTTCCCAGGACCCTGGAGTGCACACCCACTGGTGTGGGCGGGGCCAGATCTCTAGATGTACTTTCTGCTACTTAGAGAAACTGAGGGCTCTCTCGTTCCTCTGTGGCTGACTGATAAGTACAGAACCTCCCAGTCTGGAGCCCAGCTACGGTGTGGACAGCACTCTGTGCCGGGTTGTCCGTGCAGCAGGGTTGGCAGGACCACGTCTGTGCTTGAACTTGCCTCCAATAGGCCCTGTGTTGTTTCTTCTCCAGGAGTGGGGGTCATGAGCCTAGCAGGACTGCCACCTCCCAGAGTAAGACAATAGGAGCGGCAGCCAGGATTAAAGCATGTCCATCGCTGAAGTTAGTACTCACAACCTGCACATGTCTGGACAAATGGAAGGCGGTTGCTGCCCCCTCCATCACTCCTAGCATGATGACACCCTCTCTTCTGGACTAAGTCCCCATTATCTTCCTAAAGGTCTCCCTCATTCACTATTGCCATGAAAACTCATTCTAGCTGCTTCCTCTGACCTTGACTCCAGATGCGAAGGCTCGCTGCCATCACTGTAAGAAGGAAATTTGCCAGAGCCCCTGGGAGAAGTCACTGATGAGAGACAACCTCCCACAACCTGAGCTTCTCACTACAGCCACATCTTCCTCAGGTCTCTCTGTTCATTCAGCCTGGTCCAGCAGCCCCCCATCCCTCTCCCACATCTAACACACTTGGTCTCCAAGGGGAGAAATCACCAGTTACATTGAAATTAACAGACTGCAAATTATATTTTGTAAAAGTTCAAGTCAAGTAGCACAAATTTACTCCTAAGAGTGTGTGTATTGGACCTACGGAGTTTTGCTGGACCCGCTGGTTGGTGAGGGGCCATCTCGAGAAGGGTCCTCGGCGATTTTGATGGCCTCCTCCATGGCTGCGAGGAGCCCGTTCCCACCCTCGCCGCGCAGGGCGGGGCCGAAGCACTCGGGCCTGCGGATGAGCAGCCGCACCACCACGTTCGCGTTCTCCTCCACACTCTCCCCTGCGGGCACAAGCGGGGTTACACGGACTTCTGAGCAAATGATGTTACATTAATTTACTTATATTAAAAAAGTAATAACTAAAACCAACAAACATGATGGTAAAGACAAAATTACATTCAGATGACTAGTTTTATGTGTATAAGACTGCCATTTTCTGTTCTTGTACTTTAACATTTCCAATGTAAAGTAAAGCATTATGGAGGCATATACTGTTAATTTGTAACTTGAAGCCATAGTCCTAGGCCTTATAGAATCCAATTACAAAAATTTATAAGAATGTAAGTACAGAAAGCTTTTAATTAATAATGAAGTATAGCATCACTATCAAAACACATATTATAAAATAAGTTGTTACTGTAAATATCTGATTATAAAATATTCTGTTTCTGTTCTAATATTTACCTCCCCCATGAAAATGCTGGCATATATCACTATTTTATAACTATTTCTATGCAGTTTTAATAATAAGTGAAGAGGACCCCACAAGCCATCCGTCCTACCGTTACAGAAAACAGCAAATCTGAGAAAGTCGAGATATCTTTCCCCTTCGACTGGGTTCCAGCCGATATCTGGGTAGCCCTTGGCCACCAGCATTGGGCAGCTCTGCAGTCCACAGCCGGCCAAATACCGGACGACCTGCCAACAGGACGAGGAGCAGAGCGTGAGCCCTCGGGCGTCAAGTCAGAGGTCAGCTGCTTACTCCAGACTGTGGAGATGCCATCTAAGGGCAGTTTGTAACAAATGCAGCTTTGAAAGTTTTTGTGTGTTTTTTAATCTTTATTGTTGGGTATTACAGATACCCCTCCTTTCCCCCCATTGTCCCCCTCCACAGGGATCCCACCCGGTCCCAGGCCTTCACCACCCTATTGTGTCCATAGGTAATGCATATCTATAATAAAAACATAATATGCTAATTAGACCAGACGTCCTTCTGGACGACCATCCTGATGACCTTCCTGATGAAGCTGGGGCTGGGAGGGTTGAGGCAAGCCGCTGCGATGACCTTCCTGACGAAGCTGGGGCTGCGAGGGTTGAGGCAAGCCGCTGCGGCTGTGAAGGCCGAGACCCTTGCACGAATTTTGTGCATCGGGCCTCTAGTATGCGATATAAGACCTTTGGTTAATCTCTTCCTGCTCCCCCCAGCTCCTCCTCTATAAGTTCTATCATTCTGTTCTATTCCCATGTTCCTGGACCTATTTTATTCATCAGTTTATTTTGTTCATTAGATTCCACACATAAGTGAGATCATGTGATATTTGTCTTTTTCTTACTGGCT